TGAAGGCTGCGCCTATTCGGTCGATACTCCCGTAGTTTTCGCACGGTTTTCCGGTACCATTTTTAAATATTAGAATCACCCTGAACCACTCCGTTTTGTCGGTATTCTGCCACCATTCCAGGTATTTTAGTGTACATTTACTTGTTAGTTAGTTTGTCAGCTATTAACCACGTATCACTGGCACGTCGGTCCCAGCCACTACCGTTTCGGTCATCAAAACGGGAGATCATGGTAAGTATAGTCAGACATTGAAGGTGATGGCATAATCACTTTTAATAATTTTAATCAGGGCAGCCATAAGAGATAAAGTTTTGAGTTGTAACTTGTTTGAGTTTCATCTTTTTGGAGCAGTTGTAGCGCACGTTCTCAATATGAAGGTGGTGGTTGGATGGAAATATGGTTGAGATGAAGGTATAGGATTTGGAACATTAGGCAGATGGCAAACTAATCGGTTGCGCTCCGGTCAAGTAATAGTGTGAATTTGAGGTCACCGACTTTATTGTTGTGATTTGACGGGGGTAGTGCGGGCGAATACTTCCAGTCCGTCCAATGCGGGGAAACAGATTTGCTTTGGATCCCTTGCACGAACGCACAAGATAGTGGTACGGTTGGTAGGGGCCGGCAGACATGGGAGCTTCCATGTGCGCGGTCTAATTTTCTCCACCTACCGAGCTGGGAAACAGCAAGTGAACTACGGTTCACAATTTCGTGCTTAGTGGCCCAAACGTCTTTCTTTCTAGATATATGAGCGACTGACGATAGGCTACTGAGTCAAGTAGGACAACCTACAGCCACATCCAGCATTCTCTTCCAATTCTTCTGCCAAACAGGCTGCCCGATCTGCGCGCAAGCTTAGTTTTCCCTGACGCCAGATGATGCATCGAGTTGCGACCGACAAACCTTCCATATTACCAGAGATCCAATGCTTGAAGGAGACTGCAGTCTCTACTGCAGATAGGAATTTCCGTACTGCACACGACTTCGAACCCCCCACTCTAGTGATCGGAAACAAGATAAGCCGTTGGTGAGGGCTGCTCTGTTATACCTTTTTGATTTTGGGGTCCATGGGCCTATGGTTGTTTCGTAGGGGTATGCGTATTTCGAGTAGGCAAAGGCCAATGGCGGTTTATCAAGGTACTTATGTCGGACAACATGCGTGGATGTTCTTTTCGAGTGAAAAATTTAAGGGGAACCATATGGTTAGAAGGAATATGTGACAGCAAATGAAGAGGTTTTGGCATTTTTATCATCTTACTTCTGCCGGGGCGAGATGGCCCAAGTGGTTAGAGCGCGAATTTACTGACCGAAAGGTCCGTGGTTCGAACCCGACCTCTG